TGAAATGCAGCTCAGAAGCAGGCTATTGCCAAAAAGTAATGACAGTGATCTCTTGGTTACTATATTATCTGCTGGATATTGTAGAGCAGGAAAGATGGTCCACAGAGCAATGATAGAAATGTCACACACTGCGGAGCTTTCCTGTGAGAGAACAATTGAAAACTGGCAACTTCTGTAGGTGCATGCAACTTATTTTCCCACTGTGAGTAGTTTTGTGCTTGCACCATTGTCTAAGTAAACTCTGTGTCATGGTTTCCCTTCCAGAAGTTTTAATAAACTTATGTTTGGAGTAGGAAATAACCTTCTTCTTCTCCAGGTATGTGCACTTCGCAAATTGGTGAATGCCTAACTATAGCTTAAGTACACTCAGGTTTGAAAAATAGTCACAGAAAACTCTGCAGTCTATTTCTTCCCTTCATTTAGAATAAAATTATGAATAAGAAAATTGGTCCCTAACTGCTGGTCCCAATAGCTGCTTAGATTTGGAGATATACAGTGCAACAACACTGAAGGAAATTAAAAATAAATGAATCCTTTCCCCCTTTGAATATTTTGAGTATTTACTCACACCCAAGAAACTTTCCTGAGCATTTGAATCAGAAACCTCAAGTAAAATTTTTCACTACTTCAGTAATTAAATCTCAAGTAAATTTTCAGCTAGTATTGTAGACTCTTCAGGAGATTTTTGATTTTCAAAAAAGAAAAAATAGCTAAGAAAAGTAAAATGCACTTAGAGGACTGCCTAAACAATTTTTCCCCCATTGGAATAGAGTGAAAGGAATTGTAAATACTTCACCTGTGGCTTAGATGTTATCTCAGCTTTTTCAAAAATTAAATCCCATTTTCTCTTTGGGATGGAGAGCAAACTGAATTGCAGTCTAGGTTTTGCAGAAAGAAGGACAGAGAGTTGTCACTGGTGCTTGGATTTTGTTTGCTCATTAACTAATGAATTAACTAAGATCCCATTCTCTGTTTAATTTACAAGCTCTTCAGGGACAGGGGTCTTTTATGGGTTGACTTTAAGGAAGGACTCTCGGCATGACAGTAACCAGTGAGTGAGGTTTTGATGCACTGTGCCCTGATCTCCATTTTTGTATGAATGTATTTTTCCAGTTATGTATGCCTCGGTTTACAGAGCATCCAGCATGCTAAGACAGTTTTATCATGCAAAACTAGCTAGTTGTGCAAATTCACGGGACACATTTGGACACTCTTGACTAAATTACCAAAGTTTGGCTTTGACTAGTTTCTTTTTGTGTTTCGGTTGTGGGGTTTTTTGGTGGTTTTTGTTGCTGTTGTGGTGGTTGTTTTTCCATTTACTCGCTCAGATGCAAACTTTGGTGAATGCATGGCCTGAATTCAGGTTTTTGATTTTTTGATTTTTGTTTTTGAAACATATTTGATGTTTCTGCACTGATGTTTCTGCACTAATGTTTCTGTACGAATTCTTTCCAGCCCTTCTCACAATAATTGTACTGTTCAGGATCTTCGGCTACTCAGGGTAACTGAGGTTCTCTGTGGCTCTGGATAATGGAAAATTGACTATATATTGCACTTAGAGAGTGCTTGGTTATGTGTGTGTGTAGCTGTACATGTATCACTGGTGAACCTGAGCTGCTCTGGAAGACTTAGCTCTAGGGAGGATGGAAGGGAGATTTCTATTGTGTGCTGAACCACTGTACATACTTCGGGGCATAATACAAGCCCTACTTTTGGCAGTGGCAGTCCCCCTCAGAGTGGAACCCAGCAAGTATTAATTAATACAACATAAAGTGCAGCCTGCAAAGGATGGTGGACATTGCAAGAGCGCAGAGCAGAAAGGTAACACAAACTGGTGAGACTCAAGAGCCAGAAAGCTTCTAAACACTGTCTGGAAAGTTGTATATGCACACACTGACTGACAGACGCTGCTACAATGTGGGAACAGAGGAAAGAATAAACAGATGACTAACCAGGTGGCTAGACTAGTGAGTGTCAGGAATGATTAAGCAGGCAGAGGAATATGACTGAAGGAAGTGTTTATTTCACTATATGTGCTGAGGAGGTGGCCAATCTAACGTTGGTTAGATTATTCCAATAAGAATCTTCCATTGCCATGTTCTCAAGTCTTAATCCAGCATATGTGCATACCAGGGCACCATTTTGCAAAGCATAGTGTCACAGTGTAATACTGTGAGTTATGGCAAACTTACATATGGAGCTGGAACCAAACTTATGGTTTCTCCAGGTATGTCTGAATTCTCAGATGTGATTCCTCTTGGAAGCACTTTGCGGGTTACTTTGCCTATCTTGTCACTCCACAATAGATTAGGAATAGGATTATAAATTTTCAGGTGGTGTAAGAGCAAGTGATTTCCATGGCTGCATATATATTTCCCCCTCTCTATTCCTGATGAACTAGCCATAGCAGAAGATTGATATATGCAAGAGGATTTTTCTTGGAAAGTCAACAGGAAGTGAGCCCCTAAATCAAAATTCCTCATGCGGAGGAAAAGCAAAGGGAAATGGTGAAAGCCAGCATGAGCCAGCAAAATGCAGAGTGGTGAGACTAGTCTCATAAAGCTGTAGCAAGTAAAAAGGACTTTTCCAGCATGTTGATGTTAAGACTTTAAAATAACAAGACTCTTAATTTTATGTCGATGCAAACTATAAGTACATATTGGGTCTTTGCTTTGGAGATCCTCAATAAAGCTCTAATGATAGCGGGTGGGTTTCTGTCATATTGTGAAGCGTTATATAAATACTGGAAGCTCAGGAAACAAGCTTATCCTTGTGAATGGTACCAAGTTTGTAATCACAGCCAACTAGTGTTGAGTACTGTGAAATTACCTTGGCCTTCCACACTCATGTGAAGCTTGGAGCACATTAGAAGTGAAGCTCTGAAATTGTTGGAGTGACAAGTCTTAAAATCCAGGGGTTGAATAGATACCCAGACAGAGGGGGAAGAGGTCAAGAAACAAAGTTCGTTACTGAATTACTTTTGTGGAAAGATGGAAAGGTGACCCTGACCAAAAAATAATTTTATCTGAACAAAAAAGCATGAAAAAATTTGTGCTTTGACAGTTTTTACTGCCACAAATGTCTGAAAAAAAATGCCCTAAAAGCCTCACACCACTTCTTTTGCCTGAAACTCTTTGGAAAATGGAAAGAAAGTAAGGCAGATCCTGAGACACCAATGTATTTTTGTAAGTGTATAAATTTTTTGAAATGCTTTGGGTTTACTCTTGAAAAGTAATGTTTCTAGCTCTTAAAATGGTAGTGATTTTCAAGATAATTTAAAAATAATTTTATTCTGAAAGTTAAAAAACACAGTAATATAAGGAAGCTATTCATTCTGAAAACCTCTGAGGAAATTCCTCATATTTCAAATGACCCTCCTGACCCTGTTCAAAAACATCTGAGAAAAATAAGAATCTCAAGTCTACATGGAGCTATCAGCAAGCTAAAGGAACTATAAATCAAGGCTCTGCCTGAGTTCATTTACCCAAATGTCCCCAAATTTACCATTATAGTCATGTCTGTATGCAACTGCTCCAGTCTCACTCTGGTCACACTGTAGAACCTAAGAGCTTCCCGAATGGATACTGAAACCTCAGTGTTCAATGGCAGAATACGCAATGGTCTCCATGCCACAAAGAAATTGCATACCAGAAAGTGTGTCTTCTACTTAAAAGCTCAATGGTAAATTTGCTCTGGAATCACTCTTGACTAATTCAGATGGCAAATCCAAGAGAACGGGATGATGGAGTTTGTACTATGCCATCGATCACTAGGTGAGCTGTGAAGTAACAGTAAATAAACTAATTTTTGTGAGAGCAATCTGACTGACAGACTAAATAAACAAGGAATGAGCTGAAAAATAGAACCTGTGATTTAGGTGTCTTTCTGGAAGCAATGGGATAAACACGATGGAGGGGAATATTAAAGTGTTTGGGAGTTTAAAAGATGCAAAGCACCACATGAATAGAATGTCAGTCACAAGAAAAGTCCTAGCTAGAGGGATCTGTCTAATCATAGAGATAAATAGGATTTCTTTTGTTGGAGTATTTAATTGTTGAAGATTCCATTCAATATCACTCTGGATATTGTAGAGGCCTGTGCTATTGTGTGACTATGGAAGTAGTTACAAACTCACATTTGGATCTGGGACGAGACTTCTGTTTTCACCAGGTACATTTTTCCTGATTTTCTGCCTACTTTTCAAGTTTGTTGTGGATACATACCAAGATCTGGGAAATGGCAGTTGTCAAAGGTATAGTAGCCTGAGGTCTCACCTTAACCAGAATTTATTCCATGGCAGCTGTCCAAGCAGGCATCTGCTTTCAGTACTCTTCCATCAATTGCATTCCTGTGATGAGCTAAGGCAAAGCCTGGTTTTGCTCTTCTGTCAAGTAGGTCATGCGGATTTGTTTTCTCCTAAGAGTAAATTCATGCCACTTCCATTGGCCTCAGGCAAAGTCATGGATGATATGTCAGATGAAAATGTACTGGAATCCAGGAATGGCTATAACCAGAAAATACCCACTTATGGTGATTACAAGCATTTAATCTGGTCTTTGCTTGTAGCAGAATCCCAAGGAACAGTATAATCTTAACATTTTTAATATTAGTGTTGGAATGTGAATTGGACTTCCTTTTAGCTGGTTTGTCTGATATACAGATTCTGTATTATTCACAAATATTGCAACTGGATTCTGTTTGTTACTGGGACTTGAATCCAGATTTGCTGAGCTGTCACAGCTACAAAGCAAACCTACTACTACTACTATGACTAAGGCAAAAATGCTACCAGGTATCTAAGTGAGGATGTGCGGATTCTGAGTAATAGAATTATAAGGCTCAGATTGCCACTGAAACTCCCTGTGAAGCTCCACAATCTCAATGGGGTTACAGTGTGTCACTGAAATCTGTAAGGAGATAACTGTAACCAAGGTCAAAGGGGTTCTTGCAAAGATTTCCTGGGTTGTGTGAAATACGGGGGTGGAGGAGGATATAAGTTGATGTTAGGGAAAGGAACCTTGCTGATGATCAAGCCAGGTGAGTAGTAAATGGAGAAACATTCAGGAGAAAACTTGGACTGAAAGGCAGTGGTCCTAACTACATGGCACACTCAACAGGAATTTTAGGTGCTGTTACAGATACAAAACCACAGATTGTTTCTAGTACTGCCGCAAAAGGTGTAATACACAACTGAAACCAGTGAATAAATGAACTTCTTAAATTTGATCTCCCTGTTTCTGATCCTGATAATTTTCTAGTAGATTTCATTGGTACTTTGATGGTGACTTAAATAAGTGTGTTTCATCATTGCTCCCTTAAGTTATTCCCTGCTCTGGAATGTCTGTTGACCTCGTTGTCAGTATGACTTGGGAAAAACTGCCTACATTTTTGTAGAGGTTGACACCAGTGTGCCAATCAGAGATATGTGAAACTCACATTTGGAACTGGGACCCAACTTCTTGTTGTCCCAAGTAAGTTTGAGCCTTCTGTTCCACATTAACACCAGGACTCGCAAGTCATTTATTCATTGAGTAAGACGGACTAGGGACTTTCATGGAAGCATGTTCCAACTTCTTTTCCACTTTCCTTGACAAGAACTGGTTGGGATAGAGATGCTGTCTTGGAATGCAGGGAGTGTTTGGCTATTGTGCAGAAAAGAACAGCTAGAGAAGATGGTAATGCTTACACAGGTTTAATAGTTATGGCATAGTGCAGTCATACATAGAGTGCTGGAAGCAGTTCACACATGGCCAAATGCTACATAAAAAAGATTAGCAGTTTTATAGAGCTTCTGGCTATTAAGGTTTTCAGACTTGATTTTTGCATCTTTAAAATAGTAATTATACAATGTCTGGAGGTTATTCTGACTAATGACTTAGACATTGGATTTTCTAACTCTTAGCCTAAGAGAATATGTCATGATTTTTTGGTTTTAAAATCCAAACATAAAGTGCCCTTCCTAATTTGTAATGAATGATGTTACAGTGTGAGCCGTCAGGAACTAGAAAAATGTATTTATCACAACCAAACTTGTTGTGATGCATGGTAAATCTCTTTCCTCTGATATATTTTAAAGTACTTTAGAAACCTGAAAAGATAGAATGAAATTTCAAGTATCTTTGTGTGTCATCCTCTGGTAGACAGCTTTCCCACATATTTTAGATGAGGAGTTATTGGAATATACAGCTGGTAGGCAGGAATTTATTGCAAAGGCTTCTTCTTGAGTGGGAACTGAAACTGAAAGATACAATAAATTTGTATTTGGAAGAGGGACTAGATTTAAAGCCAACCCAGGTGAGTAAGAGCTGGAGAAGGACAGGTTATGAAGATATGAAGACTGGAGCAGTGTCCACTGGTTAGTGTTTCTGAACAGGTCTAACTTTATGGGGAATGAACATAAACTCTAGATGAAGAGTGGAGGGAATAGTGGTGGCTGAAAGAAAATGAAGCCAGGATTATTTCTCAACAAGATGCTTGTGAAGATGGAGCAGAGAGACTGGGAATAGTGGGAAATGAGATGGCATCATCAATTTCTTAGGTTAATGATCTTGGCATATCATTAACATTAACTTCTGAGTCCTGTCAGACAGTAATAGTGTTTGTGCAGTAATTATAAAAAGGAATATATTAGCCTGGGCAGAGCTAACTTTTTTCACATACACCAGAGTCTGCATTTTTGCCTTAGATTGAGGGCAAAAAAAAAAAAATTCAAAGATACCTCTGGGTTCATGTTTAAGTCACAGTTTCACACTGCATTGTGAAGAAATTTCCCAGGTATGGTATTTGCTATATCATATTTATATCATATTTGCAATGATACAAACTGGTATGTGTGGGATACCGGAGATAGATAGATACCGGGATACCGAAGAGTAATTTTTGGAAATGGCACAAGGTTATCTATGATCCCAAATAAGTTATCTAATTAAATATACCCATTAAATAGACTGATCAGTAAAGGATATCCTTTTGGTGTGAAGTAGACATCTACAACTGAGACAATTCAACAAATGTAAGATAAAAAGTTCTTCTGCTTTTTGATATCAACATAAAAATTACCTTGTTCCCCCTGCTTTTAGAAAGCGATTTTAGGTTGATTCTTTTGAATGTTTTTTTTTCTTGCTCATTAAACATATGGGATTTTTTTGGCTGGCACTACATGACCAGTTAATCTCTAATTCAGAAAGTGCTTTTTTGGGACTAGAAATTATATGAATGAGGGTTGAAACTATTTGAACCAAGGGTTGGACTAAACAATCCTTAAAGGTCCCTTCCAACCCAAACCATTCTATGATTCTATGAACTATTTTTCTAGAAATTAAATCTCCGGCATATAATATTAAAAACTGATTCTTGCAATTAAAATCCACACTGATTTTGGTAGAAAAAGTATGTAAAAGTATTTTGTGAAAATGACAGATGTTCATGAGCCGCCACTTCAAGTCTTTTTCTTTCCAGACAATTGTTACACAGGTGGATTAAGCCATCTTATTCACCTGTGAGCTTTGAAGAGTGGATTAGGTAAGCAGAATTGCTCCTTCTGACCCCCCAAAATCTTTTCTTAACATTGTTGAAAGGAGCAGCAGAGGAGATCATTGTAAATCTCCCCTGCAGTTTAGATGATGCATGAATAAGTCTATACATGAACACAAATAGGGTATTGCTTTCCAACATGAAATGTAAGAAAACTTCATCTCAACTTTTTCCTTAATGTGAACACAAGCCCAGGATTTATCCTGTTTTGGTACTAGAGAACTGTTTAGTCCATTGAACTCATGATTTCTCCTCACACACTGTGTCTCTCCCTCTAGTAATTAACCTCTAGTTCTGGTTCAGCTAGAAATCTTCCTCTTTAAAGGTTTGCGAGAAAGACCTTGGATGGTTTTGGTAGTTTAACTTCTCCATGTGTAATTACAGAGGCAATGACAAACACATTTTTGGGGTGGAGACCAGAATTATGCCTGAACCCTGTAAGTGAAGCAGCATGTTCACATTTACAAATACTGAATCTCTGCACAGGAGTTCTTGTATTTTGGATGACTTGGCTGATGCTGGACTAGGACTTGGCTTCTTTTATCTGAGTGCGTCCAAACACAAGCAGGGGAAGTCTAGAGTAGGGCTCAGGTATGAAATATGGACAACTAGTCTTGCTGTAGACTTTCTAGCATCCATGCAGGGCTGGCAGATTTCACAAAGGACCTCTGGTAGAACTTTTGGACTTTCCATTGGAGGACAGCCAGCAAAAATTACTAAAGTGCTTGTTAAGTCTCGCGAGTTGCTCCTCTGGGGTCAAGATCAGCCTGACTGTGTGAGGGTGTATATATTTCCTCTGAGTTGGGGGATAGCTCCAGGTTAACTCTAGCTGTGGCATATAATGTCTCAGGCTGAGGAATGGTAAGAGGATCAAAGACCTCTATCACACCAATTCCAGTATGACCAGACATTCAGAGAGTTTTTTTTTGGAGGGAATGGAGAATGAGATAAATCTCTGTATAATACAAGCTGTGTGTTAAACCAGTTCAGGATTTCTATTGCAGCTTGTTTGGAAAAAAAAGGCATAGGTCTCAGCTTGATGTTGGAACAGACTTCTACTGCTCTCTCCCTGAAATCAACCTCTAGAGCTGGCTTTCTCTGTAGACTGGCCAGGAACAGCATTCAAACAGCTCCAGTTCTTCCAGCTGGAAGGTATCCTTCAGTAAAGATGAAATTAGGCAGGGTGGACAGCTCAGAGTATCATTATTTACTTCTCAATCTTTCCTTCAAATACAAGTCATAAATATCAATACAGCATCTCCAACACATCCACCAACTCATTAGAACAGAATAACAGGAAACATAGGTGACAGTGCTGTGGTTATAATAGCTGATGTTTACCAATACTGCTATCTGCAGACTTTCGTAACAGTGTGCAAATATGCAAAGTCTTTATCAGAAAAAGGCTTTAGTACCAGAACAAAGCCAGTAGCCACTCTAAGCAAGAATGAGAAATGACTATTTTGCAAAACAGGTGCTTGCTGAAGTTGCCTGCAAAAAACAGACCTTATTTTTTTATCTGCTCAAGACAAAAACATTGCACAGAGTGAAATGGAGAAAAACACCCTAATTTGGAGAGAGGTAGATATGTAGCCCTTCAGAAAGCCTGTGAGAAAGAAGCAGAATGGCTCGATCAATTCCTTCCCTTCTCTTTCATATCCATGTACTCCATGACAATAATGTACCCTGGTTCATCTGTATTTTACACAGGGACCTACCATCAAACTTTTTATCTGCTCCTGTCTTCATCTCCCTAACAATCACTGAATTCTATTTAAAAAACAATAACTGGCAGTATGAGAGGTGGGGAGTGGGGTTGGGGGAGTCAGAACATATATTAGACTGTATTCTGCGCAGCTGGGAAACAGTCCTGTCAGGTTTTTCAAAGCCAGGACAAAGCTGTGATAGATTAACTGCAATTTGGGAGAAGGGCCAGAGAACAAATCACTAGGCTTTGTGAATTAGTTTTTTTCTGAGATCACACTAATAAAGCAGTATGGCTATTTCTCTTAGGTGGTGAACAACTGGGAGTTGAACAGGTGAAATCTCAGGGATAGAACTAGGGCCTGCACTTGAATAAGATTTTGAAACATCTTCTAAAAGCAAAGATGTAGTCCAAACTTACAACATGGGAAGAAATTAAAACTTCTTAATCTGGGAGCTATGCTGTCTTTAGTATTTCTAAAATATTTATCAATGTGGTGTGTGAACAGGGATGAAGCAAATATTAATCTAAACTCTCAACTCTACACAATAACACCTTGTCATTTTATAAATGTGAACTGAAGCTCTGGTTCAAACCTGTGATTGTGAAGTCCAATGGAAAATGGAGCCAGAGGGTTGCTGAGAGCCCCAAATCTTCATCTTGGCTACAGTATGTCTTTAATGATATTTCATCTGTTCATCATTAGAGTACTGCACTGCCCATAACACTTTACACATAAACAAAGATTTAGGAAAGCACGTTCTCCAAAAATCAGGCTTCAAGAGCTGGACAAGATGAAATGTATGCTTAGAGTACAAGTTTACAAAGCTAAATGTGCAAAAAGATTTTAACCATAGTAGTGTTTTGATATGTGTGGAAAATCCTAGTCTAACTGACTTGCTAGCAGAATTTGAAGCAAGAACACAGAAACAAACCTCAGGTGTCTTATATCTGCAGGCTTTAGTTCTCCAAACCCCTTTTCTGCAGGGTAAAATTTAACAAAAATATCTTACACTGCACTGTCAGGTGGTGGAACATAATGAAACATTCATCTGTTTCATCCTTCTTTCTCTAAACGCAACCATGTGTTCCTACTTTGCAGTGGCTTTCCTAGCTTTCTCCTATAGGAACACAATTAGCTAGACTGGTGATAAATGTGGAAACCCTTAAGACTTGGTAGTTTACCCACTGTCCCTCAGGACAGGTAGAAAGAAGTGGGATTTTGAATGTCAGTGGTGGATTCGACTATACTTTTGCAGAAAAGGCAGAATGCCCCTGGGCTGCTCAGTTATTTCCAGACACATTACATCTCGTAGCAGTGGAGCAAGAAGAGAGTGCTCTCTCCACCTGTTGTGCACATTCCTGAATGCATTCAGGCCAAGATTCAAACGGAAGACCAGGCTGCAGACTAGAGTTGAATGAGTTGTTACAGAGAGGAATGACTAGGTTAGATATGGACACCTAGGATGTGGATGTGCATGAGTATCATTTGAGATGCTCTGGGGATCCTGTCTGACCACTCTCTGTGTCTTCTACGCAGCAGAAGTCTACATCAGTTTCGTTTAGCTCCTGCATCATTGGCTGTGAATGCCTTGGTTTTCTAAGGATGTCCTAGACCAAGATCCCTATAATCAGGCAACTTCCCACCGAAATAATGGAAAAACCTCCATACCTAAGTGTCTCTATCTTAAGTTTGAAGGAACTATGACTGTGTACGCTCATCTAATGTCTCTTCTCTTCTCTCCATTTTCAGATATTACTCCATCTCCTTCAGTCTACAGGCTGATCTCTAAAGATGATGAGGATTTGGAAATGTGTCTTATCACAGATTACTCTCCTGAAAAGCTTACTCTTAACTTGGCTGATAAACAGACAAATACTGTTGTGGAGGTGGCAACATCCGAGAACAAACAGGAAGCAAGTTACCTGTCATCATACTGGGCCAAGAAGAATGAAATGCAGTGTGGTGCAAATCACGAGGGCTTTGGAGAACTGGAGGGCGAGGATCCTGAAAGTGGTAATGGCATTGTTGGATGTGTGTACAGGGCTAGAGGTACCCTGGTCTCTGCACAATTAGTGTGAGCAGGACCTGTTCACATCTCTCAGCCCTGCAAGCAATGCTGAATTATGTCCCCACACTTCAGAGGAATGTTGTCCTGTTGCCTCTGTTTTCTTTTGCCTTCCTCCTTGGTGGAAACAAGATTAAGGGTCAGTAGACTGGCACAGTCACATCATAGAGATCTTAAAATCAGACTGTTGGGGATATAAAGCTTGAAATTCCTTTGTCTGATGGGACACTGACGTTTAATTAGATATTATTTTATGCTTGCCCTGAAAACAGCAGAAAAGAGTATTTATGGGAAGGTTTACTGGCCAGAAATTCTAATCCAGCCCTTCTAAATAGAGACATCTTTATGAACTTCTGAAGAAGTACATTTCTGTTATTACTTAAATTTATTGTTACTATCTGCAGGTACCAGCACTCTCTGTGTTACAGGGGTATCTCTACACTTCAGGACAGGTATGTACACAGCGTTTTAGGAGTAAAGCTTGGCTTCCCGAGTTTTTGCTAACATTGCCTGTTTGCAGAATTCCTGTTGGAGCAAAAGCTCAGACTGGAAATTTCCAAAAGGGACCCACAGGCTGGAAGTCATTGGGTTAATGTAGTCTTCCAGATGGTAATTTTACGTGACCAGTGTAGCCAGTGCCTACATGCTCTTGCTAGGACTAGTCAAACCACCACTCCCCATCACATAATGATTCAAGGTACTGATGTGAGTCAGCTTTACTGGATGTCTGCATTTCAGACTTCAGAAGAGTTGGTTTTATTTTTGGGTGCACAAACACCTAATGAACCAAAAGATAAGCAGGTGATTTCTGCAGTGTGTGCTCAGAAGCAGGGTTGCGCTAAAGATACGGTGCATCTCAGCAAGCTTTGCTTCAGCTCACGGCTGTGGGAGTATGCTAGTCACTGCTGGAGCTCAAGCAATTGCTGTTCCTGCTAGTTCAAAGGAGCTGAGCCTGCCTCTGAACTTGCCCTCTTTGCAGAACGGCTGTACTTTTGCAAACATGCAGCCTTGCTGAAAAGAAACCAGTTAGCTAAATGTTTCCAAAGCACCACTTCAGAAAAATACTCATCAGTAAACTTGGCTGATTTGATCAGTCATTTCAGAGAGAGGTTTTCAAAGATAAACATAAAATTACTTTTTGATAACAACTCCCTGCTTCCCCATTGTAGATCAATGTATTTTCAAATGAAAATGGCTTTATAACTTAAGATTAATAGAAAATCCAAATAGACTTTGTGTTCTTTGAATAAAAATTGACTTGTTTTCCCCCTGCCCATCTTAAAAAAATTTAGGGAGAGGGAAGAGGTTCACTTCCAGCATTCTATGTTCATAATACATTGTATTTAAACATAGCTAGATGGTTGGCAGACTTTCATATTGGATAATTAAGTGGTTATTGAATGAAAACCTGGCCCTTGAAAGACCAGCTGGAAGAAATGAAAGTTTCTCAGTGAGACTGTCCTGCCCACTGTCTTCTTAGCTATCCTACTAGCTGACTCAATCACATGAAGTGGAACAGCTTCATTAAGAAGTGCTTTTAAGCCTGTCTAGGCATGAGGATGTTTCAGTGCCCCTGTGACTTTCATTCTCTGTTACTTTTACAGATGAAAACCTGAACATGCTGTCTTTATCACAGCTGGGCCTGAAAATTATTTTAATGAAAGGAGTAATTTTTAATGTGCTGATGACGATGCTTATGTGGAAAAAAAAAGTGAGTATGCATGCAGGGTGGTAAGGCCTCTGACAGAAAACATCTGTATCAGTTCATTAGCTATGAATGTTCCTTCTCCCTGTAATAACCGTTTATGAGGTCTATCCATATCCCTTTTGTCTACCAAGAGTAAAATCCCTCCACTCCTTTGGCTATATCATTGTTTTCATGCACCCCTCAAGTCTATTTACTTCTCCTTATTCATATGCAAATTTTACTTTTTTCTTCTTTCTAGACATCTCTCGCTTCTATTTCTACATCCATCCCTCCCCTTGCCTGCATTCATTCATCAGTTTCATCCCCTGACCAGTCTCCAGATGGGAAAGTTTGATGCATACTGACTTCAAGACTTCAGACCTAATACATTAGTTTGGGCCCAGTGTTGCTTTCTCCTCTTTCTATTGCCTTCAAGTCTACAATTGTGTAGCTGCACCTGTCTCACAAATAATGAATTAACATACCTTTATTTTTGTTACAGGAATGAAAGGAAGCAGATGGTGCTGCCCTGAAGTACCAAAAAAAAATCTGCTGAGGAATCTTTACCAGAGCATTGTGCGCAAGAGAGAATACTGGCATTCCCATTACAGGGGATATCACTTGCTGTTTCTGTATATCACACCAGCCATTATAGTCTAAATTGCTTTATTTGCATTTTTATAAAACTAAAATACTTTACTAAAAAATAACCTTAAAGTTCTCAGCATTCTGCTCCCCCACATGCCTGATTCATTTAGCATGACACTGCCTCTTTTTGCATGCAGCATAATTTGCTATAAGTCGCAAACACCACTGTTACTTGCGTTAAAATGACACACAATTTCTGCTTGGGGCAGTGCTGTTGAACTGCAAGCTAAATATCACTTGAATGTGAATTTTTCATATTTTGATAGCTTTCAGGTACGCACATCTTAGAGTGCACCCCCACAGGCACCACTTCAGTTGCAAATGAAACGCCTAAAAGCAAAAAGAGTCTTATTCAAGGGGCTATGCACCATGCTCTGCTATCTTTTGCTAGATCAGAGCAAGGTATATTTTTTTGCCCCTAAAAGATACACTGCTAGGTCTCCCAGAAGTCCTGAATTCAGTGAAATTCTCACTTCTTTATCACAGAAAAAAAGAATGTGTTTTACTATTTTTTAAAGTCTATCTGTTCTTAACGTTTTCTGAATTTAAAGCAGCTTAAGATTTGGCTTTGCTTTTAGTAAAAATACAAACTACTTTTGTTCTAACAACCTTACATTTCCCAATTTACTTTTATAACCATTGCATAAAACTACTACTGAAATGTATGTGCACTCCTTGGTAAGAGTGCATGCATGTGAAATTTGCATGTTGCTAATTCTTGAATTGTACCAGCAACCACCCTGATGTCTTGACATTTCTTTAGGCCTTTGGCTGCTATTAAACAGTTCTTACAAAAAATAAGAAACTTGTTTGTCTTTTGTATCTGTAGTTTGAGGAACTTGTTTTACCCTTCAGATGAGCTTTAGGAATGAGCCTGGATTTTGGGGCAAAGGAGGGAAGGGGCGCCTGGATTCTCCTCTTCAGCCTGACTTGGCCACCAGGCACTATTTGCAATAACTGGCTGGATCCAGCACAGGCGGGAGTAGCTACAAGGTCCCTTTCCAGGACGTCCATGCTGTGTGTGGGAGAGGACAGCGTGGCTGGCTCGAGGGGAGGGGAATGGAGGAGCACATCTCCTCCAAGAGTAGATTCTGCTATGTGAAGACAACAGTGAAATACGGCTTGCCCACAGTGAGAGGACTAGGAAGTAGTCCAGGTTCTTGAAAATAGATGTCTACTGCTATGGGGAGCGTAGCAGCCTGAAGTGGCCTGCCTCTAAATGTCCCCCTCTCCCAAGCATCACGGGGAGAACAAGGCACCACTTTTGCATTAATGACACCAACTGACAGGCCTGCGTCTCCAGGTTCAGTCTGTCACTGGCAAGACTAGAGGACATTTTCTCCTTTTGTGACATTGGTTTCTCCATCTTCTTTTGAAGCACCAGACATTCCTCTGGAGGGAGAAATAAGGCAGGTGCTCTGAAGGAAACACATGCCAAACTGGTGGGCGTGATTCCCTCTCATGGGATATTTCTCATTCTGCTGGGTTCAGAGCCCTTGCAAGGAACTCTGATTCTGGAAAGGCTCATGCTTCAAATGTTTTCAGCCAAAAGCCCTGGTGCTTCATGTGTGAGAGGGACCACATGAGAAGACTGTGACCATTTAGCAGGTGGCCTTGCACGGGGTGACAGACAGTTAGTGACCCCTCCTGCCAAGGAACAACTTCAAACTTCCTGGGTCTATTTTATAGTACGGATGTTTAGGGACTCATTCTCTTGCCTCTCCCTTGACACGACAGTCACTCTAATGTCTCTCCAGCTGTAGAAAGTCCACAGCTCTCTAAGCGCTAGATTCCAGGCAGCTCTTGAAGCACACATTTCACTCACAATGAGGTCTGCCACTTCACAGGGAAAACAGCTTGATGAAGCTGCCTAAACCATATTTGATTTACAAAGCAAGACCAGTCATTGCATTTCACAGATTTCCAACTGATTGATCTCATTCCAGAAACTTCCAGGGATTTGGAAGAAGAGTTTCCACGCTTATTTGCCTTTAGCATCACTTAAAAAAATTAATATACATCTTAAATCTTTGTGTTGTACTTCAAGCCCACTCCCAGCTGTATGGTCAAGGGGGACAGTGTGCCGCATCTGTTTCCACATCTCAGTCTTTTCCAGGTTAAATGACCCCAGTGATAAGATTTGCTGAGTGAGGGGATGAATGTATAGATAAAGTAAAATATTTTGATTAAAGTGACTCTTAGCATGTGATATCCAAAACACTGAATTTGTAGGTCTAGTTCAAAGATACTTTCAGACATTAGGCTTTCAATCTCTCACCACCACAATGTTCCCCCTCACATCACCACTTTGTGCTTTCTTTTTTATTTTGAGACAGAAAAACCGCAGTGCAAAGCAAAGGCAGGAAATAACACAGTAGGACAGGATGTGGAAAGGGTCTCATGGCCCAGGTGGGGCAGGAAAAGGATGTTCCATGACGCCACAATCGAGATCTGGGTCACCTTTTGATGCTCCTCTATGCCCTACCACAGAAACCGCTTCCTCTGGAAAGTGGAGCACAAAACAGGGGGTGGGGAGAGCATGGCTGGTGTGGCACGTGGCTGGGAGGAGGAAAAGCATGTGGAAAAGAACAGCAGACGTTAGACCACAAGCCAAACTCAAATGAGGTTAAGGCACCCTCCCTTCCTGCCCCCTCACCACAGCCTGCTCATGAGTCTGGGGGAAGCGTTTTGGGTAGAGCAGGAAAGATTGAGCTATGTATAGCATAGGCAGGGCAAAGCATAGGAGAAAATACATTATAAAGTGTGGTGGGTGGCAGGGAGAGCTCTTGGAAGTATGTAAGATTTCTGAATTTGCTGATAGGCCTCTGCATTCTGTTATACAGGCAGTGAATCGGAGCATGAGCAGAAAAATCATTTCACTTCTCATCCAAACGAGAAGGGAAGAAGATGTGGCAGGCCAGAGAGTTCTCTCACATTGGCAGGGAAGGAGATGGTGCCATGGTCCATCTCTAGCACCCTCTCCCCTATGCCAGTTCCTGCCCCCTAATACCTACCTATGGGTAGGAGATTAATTTGAATTTGCATCTTTTCTAGGGTTTTTTTTTGAGAAAACACCCTGCCTGACATTAGTCATCCGTCATTAAACATGGCCCTGTACATGAAATAACCTTTCTTCTTGTTCTCTTCTACAGTGTGAACAGGGACACAAGCATGGTCTGTACCAGGAGCAGAGCTTGAAGATATCTATAGACTTGTTGAAGCTTATTCAGATGTGGGAGTAGCTCTTATAGACCTGAATTCTAGCACTGAGTTTATAGCAATTAGAGGCATTGCAAGCTGTTAATAATCAGGAAAAAACAGAAACCCTCGAAACGCCACGGTTTTTCCTTTTCCATGGGCTCCCGTGCAGTTCTTAGAAGCGGCCACAGGAGGGTCCCAGCCTGGAGCTCTCTCTAAAGCCAAAGCGTGGGGAGGCCGCGTCACCCAGACCCGCAGGGAGGCACTCGCAGCTTGCACACAGCAGCTTGCAGTGGCAAAGGCGAGACCCCGGAGCTGTTCCTCCTCCTGTGAACATGCTGGCTCTGTCTACCGTGGGCCTGGCTCAGAGAGAGTCCTTCTGATGGGAAAGAAGAGCTCAGTGGTTCATTTACAATTCCTGCATGCTGTTGAGTCCCCTGCCTGCTCGCCATCAGTACAAACCTGGTACCACTGTAAACAAATCCAGCTTTATGTCTGGGACTGGAGCAGGGTGGTGGTGTCAGAGCTGGCATGAATTCACTGTTCCTACCACAGACCCAGACAGCATCCTTTGAGACATTAAAGACCCTGCTCCCTCGTACCTCACTCTTCAGAGTCTACATTAGCCAAGAGACTTAGGAGCCCCAAGTTTCACATTTTTATGTGTTTAATGGCTGCAGAACAGCTGCAAATGCTAAAAGGAAAAAGGTGGTGAACATGAGCCATAATGCAATGCTGAGGTTGAAGCTATCAGACCCCATGTTTTATCATGATAGCACCAGCTGACAAGCATTTCTTTGTCTCATAGCCTGAATGCACATTTTACCTATCTAGTGTTTCAGCTGCAGAACAAAGTCGCAAAGCATGAAGCAGGATCAGTACAAGGACTTGTACTGATCAATACAAGGCACAAGCCTTGTGCCTGAAGGTAAACCAGGTAAATTCTGCAGTCAAAGATATGGAGGGGCTAGCTGGGGTTATCTCATCCTGTGCTCATAATATGATCACCACAGAGCTCTGATTTTCCATCACAACAAAGAAGCATTTGACTTCAGTGCAGAAGGTAGTTTGGGCTCGAGGAGGCAACGGCCAAGGGCCAAAGCCATTGAGTTTAAGCATTTCATAACTCTTTGGTGGGGGGGATTTTCAAAGAAGTTAAGGTTGAGGGGTGACCTTCTCCATGGATTCAGCTCAAGCGCAGCTCTGTCTGAAGTACTGACACAATTTGGCAGCCCCTTCCAATATCCTCGGGTTTATCAGCACATCAGATTGAAGAAAAGCTAACACTCTGGCAGGGTGGCTGTATCACTACCAGGCCTTAGAGAGCCTCTAAGTCCAGCTGGGACATCCAGCTGTGCTACACCTGCCTTTGAGAGATATGGCGGTTCCTGTGGAAAGATGGGTACACCTGGGGATGTGCTGGAGGACACCCTCTGCTTCCTTTCGTTCATGACTGCTAACCACAACCTAACCCAAGTTTTCCACAGCTCTGAAGCCTGGGGGCACACTGGCAATACACTTTCCGTAAGATAAAGGGGCAGGAAACAAGAAGATGAAAAGGGTGGATGACAACTGAGTTTGCATGATGACTTGCTTCCTGCTTCCCTCTGAAACTGGGGCACAGAATAAAAGCCTGCTGGGTAGAAAGGGAATGGGGTGGTAAAAACAGGGAGTTGTGCCTGAGAGGGAACTTGGGTGTCAAAAGAACCTCTGTATTTCTCACCAATAGGGAAGAGACTGCAGTATTATAAAGGGTTTTATTGATGGAAAGAATTACAGTGACTGCAGTGAGGCAGTAGACCCCTCCACAGGACAGTCTGTGGGGAAAAATCTTGAGCCCTGCTTCCCCTTCCTCCATCAAGGAAGTAGGTAATACACTGCTGGGGAACAGCACTTCTCAATACCAGGCTTTGGCATCAGAGCTCAAATGCAATTCAAGACCTGGGAAGAAAGAAAGGCAACATAAGCAATGTTTCTGCAAAGGGAGGGGAAATACACCACAGGCTCCAATGGTCTTGTGGCCCCTTGCACAGTAACAGGGCATGTCTTCCATTTTCCAGCACAAAACCCTCCCTGTCCCAAACTCCCTCCTCTCATCTGCTGAGAAACTCCACATTTAAGACATCAGCCATACCACAGCCTCCAAATAGAGCCCAGAAGTTCCAGCTCCCAAAGCCTCTCTTGCAAAATGCTGTATTTCTCTTACAAGACAGAAATCCGGGTAGGTTTCTGTAACACTTCTAGTTAAACTGCTTTTTAAATGATAAAGGCCAAAAGATACATGCACAAACCCAGAAAGCCATAAAACCTAACCCTGTATCAACCTAGAGGACAACAGCTTAAATGCACTTGGCCAAGACAAAGCTGGGAGCTAGGACTCCTGGATCTGCTATCTAGTTCTCTACCAACTCTACAAAAGTACTGAAGTTGAGTGAGCTGTGGTTGCTCCTTTTGTGACCCCACAGATCAGTACCTCACAGTCTCTTCTAGAGCTCAGCCAACAAAATTGATGACGACAAGATGGAGGATAGTGTTGGCAAAGAGGAAATCTGCAAATGCCCGCTCCGGTGAAATGCCTTGGAACTCGCCTTTGTTTTGGGGGTTGATCTGGATCCGGAGGCAAACTGCATGGCAGAGAAAGAATGAGAAATTAGGGATCACAAAAAGAAGTAAAGGTGGGAAGCCAGTCTTCCTGTGGCAGCCCACCCCAGCCTGGTTCACTGTTTCACCAAGGTACCACAAGAAAAGGTAACTCCACCTTTATTATAAGCAGGACATTGGCAGGGGATTTGCACAGGGCTTTTATACAGTCAGCTCTCCCACAGCCCTACACTATCAGGGGTGGCCAAGTGAGTCCTGAGTGGAACAGGCTTATAACAGGATGTGACTTGCATAGAAATGCGGCTATTTCCACGTTCTCCATTGGGTGTGTTGGGGAGGGCTGCACAGATGACCCTAAATGTCTTTTCCAACTAAAGTGGTTTTGTGTCTCCCATGGCCGAGCAACACCTTGAAGCAGTCATTGCTAGAGTTTGCGTGTCACCATAAGATGGCTGCTAAAGAAGACCAGTACAACATGGTAGAAGGGACGGCTCCTTGACTGCCAGGGAGAACTAAGGACAACCTGGGGCTGATAAGGAGCCAGGCACTATGCTGCATATGGGCAGCATCCTGCTGGGCTGCGGGCTGGGCTGGCCAGAGCAGGAGCCTGGGGGCTTCTGGGAGCATAGCTGGGTGTTATGGGGGGAGGGGGCGGTGCTGGAGGTTGCCCTGGGGACTCCCTGGCTGCCGGGGTAGGTTGGAAGGCTGCTGTGGGTGCCTCCCTTGGGCTTTTGGGGAACGCCTGTGGCTGCTAAGGGAATCCTGCGGTTACTAAAAGAGACCTGGGTATTTTCTAGAGCAACTCTCTGATGGCCGGGAGCCTCTGGGCATTGCTGGGGGTTCCACGGTCGCTGGGGGAGGCTGGGTTGCGAAAGGGAGAACCGCGCGGGG